TAACCTCATCGGTCCACAGAACTTGTTTCCAAAATGCATCAGGCTTGTCTATATGTTCATTTGCAAAGTTCAAACGATGATTTTTTGTGGTGAGGACGTAGAAGAGGTTTTCTTCTGATGACTCTTCCATGAAGACCATATTTGTACAAGTATCTCTTTATAGTGGAATAGTGTACCACAACTCCAGTGTCTGCCAGATCTTTCTGGAGGGATCGTGCAATCAAACGTGGGTTTTGAATTGTTTTTCTCACAATCCTGCGAGCTGTTCTGTCTGATATTTTTCTTGGTCTTCCAGATCTTGCTTTAACTTCCACTGTTCCTGATGACTGCCATTTCTTAATTACATTCCGAACAGAGGATATTGATATCTGAAAATGCTTTGCTATCTTCTTATAGCCTTCTCCAGCTTTGTGAGCGTCAACTATTTTCAGTTTCAGTTTTCTAGACAACTGCTTAGAAGAACCCAGGGTGCTGATTGTTGGGGCAAGGTCAGATGAGTCTGGCATTTAAAACCTTTGAGATTGACATCACCTGGTCTGCCCAGACGATGATTGAGAACAATCCATGACACTGGCAGGTCTCAGCTTGGCAAAGGGGGCAGTGCATGCTATAAATTCTGCAGGGTGCCCAAACTTTTGCAGACGCCATTTTTTTTGTTTTCTGTTATTTTGAAAGTGTAAATGATGGAAATAAAATCTAACTTTTTGTTGACATATTATAAGAATGTCTAATCTGTAATTTGATGCCTTTTGGAGATTTTTCCATCTTTCCTTGGCTTCTTTATGCACATTAATACAAATTTTCAGCTGGGGTGCCCAAACTTTCGATCCCCACTGTAAGAATAATCGGCCGATTTTCGCTCTGTTAGTGGGTCAATGGCACCGGACGATTTTCGTGGTTCTTTCCCCTTTTCAGAGATCGGGCATGTTGGAAAATTTGTGAAAAAATGAACCGACTTTCGACTCGATGATGGTCAAATCGTACGATCGTTTTTCCTAAAAGAATATGCGCATGAGCCGTGACCTGGAAGGAACAGAAGTTTTGGCTGTTATATGGGGTGAACTTTATGATTTGGTCGGCCGATTTTCGAAATCATTAATGGCGCCGTCGAATTACCGAGCGAACAACATTTTCAATTTTCAGAATTCGTTCGAAATTTGGCACCTGTATGGCCTGCATAAGTGTCATTTCTGTCCACTGCTTCATCCCTGTGCTATAAGCATGAGTCACTTCTGTTGAGTTTTCCTGACACCAAGAGACAAATGGTGACAGGGGAGGGACCTCAAGCAGATTGACTTCCTCAGCTCTGTTCCTGTGAGCGGTGTGAAGAGGGGTGTGTCCTTTCCCTCCAATCGGCTCTCAGAGCACTCCTCACTGATGTAACTTCGGTTGTCCGCCCCTGCTTTTCAAAGCTGAAAGATCCTGTGTAAATTGTGCATTTGAACAGATTTATTTATTTCAGGTACTTATATAGCGCCGTCAATTTACACAGCGCTTTACATATATATTGTACATTCACATCAGTCCCTAACCCTCAAGGGGCGTACAATCTAAGGTCCCTAACCCTCAAGAGGCGTACAATCTAAGGTCCCTAACCCTCAAGGGCGTACAGTCTAAGGTCCCTAACCCTCAAGGGGCGTACAATCTAAGGTCCCTAACCCTCAAGGGGCGTACAACCTAAGGTCCCTAACCCTCAAGGGGCGTACAATCTAAGGTCCCTAACCCTCAAGGGGCGTACAACCTAAGGTCCCTAACCCTCAAGGGGCATACAATCTAAGGTCCCTAACCCTCAAGGGGCATACAATCTAAGGTCCCTAACCCTCAAGAGGAGTACAATGTAAGGTCCCTAACCCTCAAGGGGCGTACAATCTAAGGTCCCTAACTCACATTTATACATACTAGGGACAATTTAGACAGGAGCCAATTCACCTACCAGTATGTCTTCGGAATGGGAAGAAACCGGAGTACCTGGAGGCAACCCACGCATGCACAGGGAGAACATGCAGACTCCAGCAGGTGGTGCCGTGGTTGGGATTTGAACCAACGACCCTAGTACTGCAGGCAGAAGACTAACCACTTAGCCAATGTGCTGCCCATGTAGGGGAAAGACGGCCGTAGATAAACAGGTACAACTTACTGTAGGAGGATTTGTTGCATCAACTGAAGCCAGTCACCTCACTGGGTACATGTGAGGGTTTACAACCCCTTTAAAGACTTCCATGGGGCTTGGATCGACTTTTTTAGAGCCTCAGCGCAGTTCAGCGAACCGAACCCATGTACGTTTGTCTCAACCCTAGTGGGAGCAAAACCTGAACCTCACACCTACTGTACATATCACCCCATAAGCCAGTGGTTCTCAACCTTCCTAATGCCGCGACCCTTTAATACGGTTCCTCATGTTGTGGTGACCCCCAACCATAAAATTATTTACCCAGTAATTATAATTCATGAGTGTCGTTTTACCTCCAATACTGCTGCTTTCAACACAGTAGCTGCTCTTTACACATCAGAAAATATGTGTTTTCTGATGGTCTTAGGGGACCCCTGTGAAAGGGTCCTTCGACCCCCAAAGGGGTCGTGACCCATAGGTTGAGAACCACTGCCATAAGCCATATTTCTAGACTGACATATTCAAATCATCATTTTGCAGAAATAATTATTTTCTTGCCATTACTATTCCATTACCACGAATAATATTTATTTTCAGTACGGCTAAACAATCACTTCTTACATCCCGTCATCCGTCTGTCCTTCCTCTCCCCTAGGATACTTCTCTACGCTGCGGAAAACATCTTGATCAAGAAAGCAGCGAGTCCATATCACAAACCTCATCCCGCTTCTTCGGGGCCCAGAGACAGAGCACTTATTGTATAAAATATGTAGCAGCGTTTGTTCTGTTGCTGCCGCCACAGTTCAGATCACTTACAAGTCGAGCGTTTTCCCCATTCTCTCTCATCCCGCGCTCTTTTTTTTTTTTCGGCTTGCGGTTTTTATCTTATTCAAAGAGCACCAGACAGCCTTTGAAGACAGCTCAAAGCTCTTCTTCTTTTTTTTTTTTCCATTTTTTTTTTTCTTCACTTCTCAACTTGATACTGAATGAGGCGTCTTAGGAGAAAACATTCAACCCCGTGGTAATTTGGGATACTCCAATTATATGAGAGTATAGAACATTTGTATGATTTTTCTTTTTAACAAGAGTGTGACTATCACTGAAGCACCATCAAACAGACAAGCGTTAATGCATGACTATTGACGGAACCAGGAGAGGAGAAATAGGAAAAAAAATATAAGTTAAAGAGAGGAAATGCTGAAAAGAAGAATGTTTTGGCTCGTGATGAGAATAGTAAAATGTTGTACTGTATCTTTTGGACTAACGAACGGGGCTTAGACGTATTTAATTAAAAACCCTATATCATTAAAGAGACTAAAAAAAAACCATAAACCCATCCTGCCCCTCCCTCCTACCTCCCTCTTGCCCATTCAGCAGTTTATTTTCTTTAATACCTGTTGAAGGACTTTCCTAAGTCCACCATCCGGGTCCCTGGGGTTGGTGCTGCTTGGGGGTGCTGTCTTCTGGATACTGAGAAGCCTCCACTCCAATGCCATGAGGGAAGTGACATGGACACCTAAGTAAGGATCCATTTTCCTGGTCACACAAGAAGAAAGAAGACATTTGACTAGATGATCGCATAAACACAAATTTAGATGACAACCAATAGGTTGTATCAACATCATGAAGGTGGTGACATGGACTACCGAAGAAGGATCCTTCCTTCTGTACACAGAAGAAGAGAGAACACATGGGACTGGATGGTCGAATGGCCAGAAATTTAGGTGACAACCAATAGGTTGTATCAACATCATGAAGGTGGTGACACAGACTTGCAAAGAAGGATCCCTCCTTCTGTACACATGGGACTGGATGGTCACATAACCACAAATTTAGGTGGCAACCAATAGGTTCTATCAACATCATGAAGGCGGTGACATGGACTACCAAAGAAGTATCCCTGCTTCTGTACACATGGGACTGGATGATCACATAACCACAAATTTTAGGTGGCAACCAATAGGCTGTATCAACATCATGAAGGTAGTGACATAGACTACCAAAGAAGGATCTCTCCTTCTGTACACATGGGACTGGATGGTCACATAACCACAAACGTAGGTGGCAACCAATAGGTTGTATCAACATCATTACGTGGTGACATGGACTACCAAAGAAGTATCCCTCCTTCTGTACACATGGGACTGGATGGTCACATAACCACAAATTTAGGTGGCAACCAATAGGCTGTATCAACAGCATGAAGGTAGTGACATAGACTACCAAAGAAGGATCTCTCCTTCTGTACACATGGGACTGGATGGTCACATAACCACAAATTTAGATGGCAACCAATAGGTTGTATCAACATCGTGAAGGAGGTGACATAGACTACCAAAGAAGGATAGCTCCTTCTGTACTCATGGGACTGTATGGTCACATAACCACAAATTTAGGTGACAACCAATAGGTTGTATCAACATCATGAAGGTGGTGACATAGACTACCAAAGAAGTATCCCTCCTTCTGTACACATGGGACTGGATGGTCACATAACCAAAAATTTAGGTGTCAACTAATAGGTTGTATCAACATCATGAAGGTAGTGACATGGACTACCAAAGAAGGATTCCTCCTTCTGTACATATGGGACTGGATGGTCACATAACCACAAACTTAGGTGGCAACCAATAGGTTGTATCAACATCATAAAGGCAGGGACATGGACTACCGTAAAATGATCCTCCTTCTATACACAGAAGAAGAGAGAAGACATGAGACTGGACGGTCACATAACCACATTTAGGTGACAACTAGAGATGAGCGAAGTATTCAAAAAATTCGATTCGGCTGATTCGGCGAATTCGCGGAATAAATTTGATTCGAGTCGAATATATTCGTTGCGAATTTAAGTTATAAAAAAAGGGTGTTTCTAGGCTTCAGAGAGCCTTTATATTAGTGCAGAACACTGTACCTTTAATTTAAATGCCCTTGGAGTCTGCTGGGGAAGAGAAATAATACTGTCAGTCAGTTGACATGCAGATGAGTGCCGTCGATCTTAGAATCACCGCACACTTTCACTCATTTGGGCAGTCACGGGGCCAAAACCAGAGTGTGGAGCCACAGTGTGGCGGTGGAGGCAGCAGCAATGGGAGGCCATACAGCACCCTATGACAAAATGGAACCCACCAGCAGTGTGAGGAGACCTGAAAGTGGCACATGGCAGAGTGTGGCGATGGAGACAGCAGCAATGGGAGGCCGTACAGGGGACCCATGACACACTCTGGACCTGGCAGCAGCATGAGGAGGCGGTACAGGGGCCCATGACAGATTACGGGCCTGGCAGCAGCATGAGGAGTCGGTACGGGGGCCCATGGCAGATTACGGGCCTGGCAGCAGCAATGGGAGGCCCGTAATCTGCCAGCACCCTATGACAAAATGGAACCCACCAGCAGTGTGAGGAGACCTGAAAGTGGCACATGGCAGAGTGTGGCGATGGAGACAGCAGCAATGGGAGGCCGTACAGGGACCCATGACACACTCTGGACCTGGCAGCAGCATGAGGAGGCGGTACAGGGGCCCATGACAGATTACGGGCCTGGCAGCAGCAATGGGAGGCCTGTAATCTGCCAGCACCCTATGACAAAATGGAACCCACCAGCAGTGTGAGGAGACCTGAAAGTGGCACATGGCAGAGTGTGGCGATGGAGACAGCAGCAATGGGAGGCCGTACAGGGACCCATGACAGATTACGGGCCTGGCAGCAGCATGAGGAGGCGGTACAGGGGCCCATGACAGATTACGGGCCTGGCAGCAGCAATGGGAGGCCCGTAATCTGCCAGCACCCTATGACAAAATGGAACCCACCAGCAGTGTGAGGAGACCTGAAAGTGGCACATGGCAGAGTGTGGCGATGGAGACAGCAGCAATGGGAGGCCGTACAGGGACCCATGACACACTCTGGACCTGGCAGCAGCATGAGGAGGCGGTACAGGGGCCCATGACAGATTACAGGCCTGACAGCAGCAATGGGAGGCCGTTAATCTGCTAGCACCCTATGACAAAATGGAACCCACCAGCAGTGTGAGGAGACCTGAAAGTGGCACATGGCAGAGTGTGGCGATGGAGACAGCAGCAATGGGAGGCCGTACAGGGACCCATGACACACTCTGGACCTGGCAGCAGCATGAGGAGCCGGTACAGGGGCCCATGGCAGATTACGGGCCTGGCAGCAGCAATGGGAGGCCCGTAATCTGCCAGCACCCTATGACAAAATGGAACCCACCAGCAGTGTGAGGAGACCTGAAAGTGGCACATGGCAGAGTGTGGCGATGGAGACATGGGCCCCCTGGCCACGCTTGACTTTCTGGCCACATAGTCGACATACGGCTACGTTTACTTCCTCGGGCTTGACGAAAAATTGCCACACCGCCGAGTAGGAAACTTTGCCCCCGCTACTCCTCACTGGCTGACTGCTACTTCCTCCGTGCACACCGGCACCACTACTGGCCGTGGTGGTAGGCTGCAGTGGAGCTGGTGCTCTACTCCGTGGCTGTTTGCCTCCACTGACACTGCTGCGACCCTGCTGCCTCCTGGGCAACCCACCGACTGTTTTGCTCGCTGCCAAGCTGGCACCCTCTTCTCCTGATGATGCGGAAGCAATAGCCTGATGACGACGAGGCTGCAAGTGCGATCAGCCTCATCATCATCAATTAGGGTCTCCGCCTCACTACTAGCCCCCTCGGCTGCGTGTGGGTCAGGAGACAGACCTGTCTCTAGACCGGCTACCGAGCCACTCTCCTCGCCAGTACTTCTTCGCCTGGCTGCTGAAGAGGCGGATGTCTCCCCCCGTTCCTGACCGCCCTCTGTTAGCTCTTCCTCACTGTACAGTGGGGCTGAGCCCACAGCATGCGATACTTCGCTTGGTGAGGGAACACCAAAGGACAGGGGCAGGTAGAGGACACGTGATTTCAGTGGGCTTGCTCCCGGGCCATGCCAACTAACGGTTGTGTCTGACGTACCCACCGACCGTTGGCTGTAGGTGTCAGAGGTGACCTGGGAAGAGGAAGACGACCGAGCCAACCAATCGATGACGGCAGGGTTGTCGGTGGAGACACGACCGCTGGATGACACCGGGAGCACTGGCCTCTGGCTGCGACTAGTGCTGCCTCGACCCCTTCCTCTGCTGCCACGTCTGCTCGCTCCTGAAACATTGCCTCCGCTGCCACTCCTCTGCGTGTTGTCTGACATACTCTTTAATTCAACGATTCTGTGTCCCTGAGTAACATTTCTGTGTCCCTGAGTAACAATTCTGTGTCCCTGAGTAACAATTCTGTGTCCCTGAGTAACGATTCTGTGTCCCTGAGTAACGATTCTGTGTCCTGAGTAACGATTCTGTGTCCCTCAGTAAACGATTCTGTGTCCCTGAGTAACAATTCTGTGTCCCTGAGTAACAATTCTGTGTCCCTGAGTAACAATTCTGTGTCCCTCAGTAACAATTCTGTGTCCCTCAGTAACAATTCTGTGTCCCTCAGTAACAATTCTGTGTCTGTCCCTGAGTAACAATTCTGTGTCCCTGAGTAACAGTTCTGTGTCCCTGAGTAACAGTTCTGTGTCCCTGAGTAACAGTTCTGTGTCCCTGAGTAACAATTCTGTGTCCCTCAGTAACAATTCTGTGTCCCTGAGTAACAATTCTGTGTCCCTGAGTAACAGTTCTGTGTCCCTGAGTAACAGTTCTGTGTCCCTGAGTAACAATTCTGTGTCCCTAAGTAACGATTCTGTGGCCCTAAAGTCTCTTTGGCCCTAACTCTGTCCCTAATACAGAGAGGTCTGTCTCTCTTGAATGACCGGAGGCTAATGGAGAATTCTAAGATGGCCGCAATTTATAGCTCGACCATTACACAGTGCTGGCTGGCTGGCTGCTGATTGGCTAATGCGATCACATGTCATGAATGAATGTATTATGGGTCAGCGCGCCTTGTCTGCGCGCCTTCCCAGAGATCCCCGCTCCGTCGCCACACATGTCGCCGCCATTTTTGGAAAATTTCGATTCGCGCATCCGAAGTCTGCTAATTTTCGGATTCGGCGCGAAAATCCGAAACGAATTCCACTTCGCCAAGTTCGATTCGCTCATCTCTAGTGACAACCAATAGGTTGTATCAACATCATGAAGGCGGTGACATAGACTACTAAAGGAGGATGCCTCCTTCTGCACACAGAAGAAGAGAGAAGACATGGGACTGGATGGTCACAAGGCCAGAAATGTAGGTGGCAACCAATAGGTTGTATCAACATCATAAAGGCGATGGCATGGACTACTGAAGAAGGATCCCTCCTTCTGTACACAGAAGAAGAGAGAAGACATGGGACATGGTCGAATGGCCAGAAATTTAGGTGGCAACCAATAGGTTGTATCAACATCATGAAGGTGGTGATATAGACAAGCAAAGAAGGATCCCTCCTTCTGTACACATGGGACTGGATGGTCATATAACCACAAATTTAGGTGGCAACCAATAGGTTGTATCAACATCATGAAGGTGGTGACATAGAATACCAAAGAAGGACCCCTCCTTCTGTACACAGAAGAAGAGATAAGATATGGGACTGGATGGTCACAAGGCCAGTAATATAGGTGGCAACTAAGAGGGTGTATCAACATCATGAAGGCGGTGACATAGACTACTAAAGAAGGATCCTTCCTTCTGTACACAGAAGAAGAGAGAAGACATGGGACTGGATGGTCACATAACACATTTAGGTGACAATCAATAGGGTGTATCAACATCATGAAGGCGGTGATATAGACTACCAAAGAAGGATCCCTCCTCCTGTGCACAGAAGAAGAGAGAAGACATGGGACTGGATGGTCACATGGCCAGAAATTTAGGTGGCAACCCAATAGGTTGTATCTACGTCATGAAGGCGGTAACGCGGACTCCCAAAGAAGGACCCCTCCTCCTGTGCACCGAAGAAGAGAGAAGATATGGGACCAGATGATCACATGGCCACAAATTTAGGGGACAGCCAATAGGTTGTATCTACATCATGAAGGTAGTAACGCGGACTCCCAAAGAAGGACCCCTCCTCCTGTGCATAGAAGAAGAGAGAAGATATGGGACCAGATGATCACATGGCCACAAATTTAGGGGACAGCCAATAGGTTGTGCCAATGTCATGAAGACGGGGACATGGACACCCGTAGAAGGACCTCTTCTGTGCACAGAAGAAATGGGATCAGATGATCACATGGCCACAAATTTAGGTGATTAAAAAGTGAATGTACTTTTTTTTAAATAACACAGCCATGTGACCACCATGTAAGCTCTGACATGGTTATCAAAAGGCTCTGTTGCTGAGCAAAGCCGTGTACGTACGTGCTATAGCTTTGTTAATAAAGTTCCAGAGTGCCAGATACCACGTCAGTGACAGATGCCACTATATATCTTACTAGGTGCACTTAGAAGGTGCATTTTGTTTGTATGAAAGGTTAGGGTTAACATTAGGGTTCCTCTGTTTTTAGTATTTAATATCATGTTCTCAAGGGGCCAATTTCTGGCACAAGGTTAGCTGGAGGGAGCATATGTAGCTCTCAGGGATGCGTTGACGGCCTATTCAACTCTTGAAAACCTCTGAAACCACCTTAATTTCTCGTTCACCATTGATTATTGCTTTTCTGACAAAAGTGATGTCATATTACTGAAATGTCTTGCTTTTCACCAATATTCTCAATTTTTGCTAATCGGTAATATACAGTAAATGAACAAGAGGAGTATCAATTGTCCAATTAATTAGTGTGTGTAGCGCTTACCCTCACAGGAGCCGCTTGGTATGATGGGTCCTCTACTCTCTGCCATGACTCTGTAAACCTCTTTGTCTGATTTGACACACCTGGTTATATAATAGCATGCTGCAAGAACCTATAGTATATTAGCTCAGGCATTAGAACACCACTTACAACTGTGGATACTGTATATAGTAAATAAATCCCCCTGTGCTGTGTGGAAGAGCTGTGGCAGTCTCAGGACAGGATGGACAGAAATACAAATCCTTTGGTAGGTAAAACAGTTTCCATATACAGTGAAGGAAATAAGTATTTGCTCCCCTGCTGATTTCGAATGTTTGCCCACTCACAAATGATCGGTCTAAAAATGAAATGTTCGGTGTATTGTAACACTGAGAGACAGAAATGACAGCAAACAATTCAGCAGAATTGCATGTCTAACAAATGATGACTGATCTGCATGTTCATGAGGGAAATAAGGATTTGATCCCCTATCATTCAGCAGGATTTCTGGCTACCAGGTGTCTTTCATGCAGGTAGCAAGCTGAGATTAGAAGCAGTCTCTTAAAGGGAGTGCTGCTGATCTCATTTTGTTACCTGTATAAAAGACACCTGTCCACAGGAGCAAACAATCTGATTCCAAACTCTCCACCATGGCAAAGACCAAAGAGCTGTCCAAGGATGTCAGGGACAAGATTGTAGACCTACACAAGGCTGGACTGGGCTACCAAACTATCGCCAAGCAGCTTGGTGAGAAGGTGACAACAGTTGGTGCAATCATTTGCAAATGGAAGAAACACA